GGGTGCAGAGCCTGTCCCCCCCATTCCATGGGTGCGGGACCCCTCCCTGGGACGACCTCTCCTCTGCCATTGATGCAATGAGTTTGCCTTCTCAGCTGGGCTGAGAGGCCGAGTGCGGGGCTGTCTCCCGTGGGTGCTGCCTCCCACCTTCCCTGGGAAGGGGGAGTGGTTTGGAGACCCCTGGGTGCCCCCCCACCCTGTCCCCTTCCAGGGAGCACTGTGGGGTGGGGAAGGGGTGCTGTGGACGGGGGGATGCCCTCAATGAATCCTGGGGCACCCCATCAGTGCCAGCCCCTCTCCCAGGCAGGAGGGTGGGAGCAGTGGGGGGGGACAAGCACAGCCCCCCTTGTCCCCGCTCCATCCCGGGGCAGGAAGGGCCCAGCCAGCGCCTGCCCTCCCTGCCAACAAAAGCAGCTTTTTGGGAGGCAGCCCTGGCCCTGGGTCAGCCTGGGCTCGGCCTCTCCCTGCTGGGCTGGCACCAGGTCCTGGCATCCCCGGGACAGTGGGGTGACCCTTCCCTTGTCCCCTCCAGTGTCCTGTCCCCCCACCCCCCACGAGTATCCCTACTGCTGGACGCTGGGCTGGGGGATCCCGGGGGGCTGGGGATGAGCCGGGCAGCCCCAGGGCCCTGGCGGTGCTGGTTTTGGGGTGCAGCACACCCCGGCACCCCCTCGCTCCCAGCCCTAGGGGGGTGTCACAGCTTCAGCCCCGCTCATCCCTGTGGCCAAATTCAGGTGCCATCTCAGTGCCTGAAGCGGCTGAGCCCTGTCTGGCTCGTTCCACTTGTAGATGGGACTGGTCTGCGCCCCCAAACCAGCATCTCCAGCCCCACACCTGGGGTTGATCCTGTCCTGGCTCCATCAGGCCAGCTCGTCTCCTGCGGGACAGTGTGACACGTGGTGCCAGAGCTGGTGTGAGCCCAGTGGCACGGACAGGGCATGTGGCGTTGGGTGCATCGAGCCCCAGGGAGCCCCGTGCCTCAGTTTCCCCTTGTCCCTCACAGAGCTGCCGCCCTCCGAGTTCATGCAGGTGGCAGATTCGACGTGGCTGGTGCTCAGCGTCGTCTCCAATGGCCGGGCGCCCTCCGGCTGCCAGGCCACCGGCGTCACCAAGATCGCCAGGTCGGTCATCGCGCCGCTGGCCGAGCACCACGTCTCGGTGCTGATGCTCTCCACCTACCAGACTGACTTCATCCTGGTGAGCGCCGGGCGAGGACGGGGGACGGTGGCGCCTGGTCCCACTGGGGTGGGGACCCTGCTGTCCCCATCTGGCTTCGTGGAGGTGTGGTGGCAGCGCTGGCCCTGATCCTGCACCCCCGACCAGGTGCGGGAGCGGGACCTGCCGGTGGTGATCCACACGCTGGCGGGGGAGTTCGACATCTACAAGGAGGAGGGCGGCGAGTGCGTCCCTGTCACCTGTGATGACGTGAGCAACGGCTTCCTCAAGCCCAAGCAGGGTGAGTGATGCCAAGTGCCATGTGCCCTAGGGCCACCCCACCCAGTCCCTGCGGAGATGCTCCAGCTCCCCCCAGTGGCTCCACATCCCTGGGGACCACCCAGTCCTCTCTGAGATGCTCCAGCTCTCGACGGTGGTACCCACATCTTTTGGGGACCTCCAGAGCCACCTGGTCCCCGCTGAGATGCTCCAGCTCCCGCAATTGGTACCCACATCCTTGGGTGACCTCTGCGGCCATCAAGTCCCCTGTGAGATGCTCCAGCTCCCCCCAGTGGTCCCACATCCCTGGTGACCATCCAGTTCCCTCTGAGATGCTCCAGCTCTCGCCAGTGGTACCCACATCCTTGGGGACCTCCAGAGCCATCTGGTTGCTGCCAGATGCTTTAGCTCCTGCCGGTGGTACCCACATCTTTGAGGGACCTCCAAGGCCACCCAGTCCCCACTGAGATGCTTCAGCTCCCCCTAGTGGTACCCACATCCTTGGGGACCACCTAGTCCCCTCTGAGATGTTCCAGCTCTTGTCGGTCGTACCCACATCCCTGGGGGACCTCTGGGGCCACCCAATCCCCCCTGAGATGCTCCAGCTCCCCCCAATAGCTCCACATCCCTGGGGACCACCCAGTCCCCTCTGAGATGCTCCAGCTCTCTCTGGTGGTATCCACATCTTTGGGGGACCTCCAGGGCCACCTGGTTCCTCTGAGGTGCTCTAGCTCCTGCCGGTGGTACCCACATCTTTGGGGGACCTCCAGTCTACCCATGCCCCACTGACACGCTCCAGCTCCCACAGGTGGTACCCACATCCTTGGGGGACCTCCAGGGCAACCCAGTCCCTGCTGAGATCCTCCACCTCATGGTACCCACATCCTTGGGAACCTCCAGGGTCATCCCATCCCTGCTGAGATGCTCCAGCTCCCCGCAGTGGTACCCACAGCCTTGGGGAACCTCCAGGGCCACCCCTCTGTGCCCTGAGGGCTGCCGGGCTGTGGTGCGGTGGCCACGGGGTGGCACTGCGGCACTGTCCCCAAGCTGTCCCCGCGCCTGACGGGTGGCTCTCCCCCTGCCAGCCGCCAGCCCCACGCTGCACCCCGTGCAGAGCCCCCAGACCCGCTTCTGCGTCCTGACCGTGGCCCCCGACACGCTGCCCGCCATCGCCACCATGCTCATCGACGTCCTCTTCTACTCCCACAGGTGGGTCCCAGGGATGGGGACGGTATGGTGGCCCCTCACCCAGTGTCACCTCAACCACAGTGACACCTCCCTCCCCTCGCTCCCAGTGGCTTTTCAAGCTCTGGGTGTATTTTGCGAACTGGTTTTGCCCTCCCGAACATACTGGGGGGCTGCAGCCGTGTGGGTGTCATGGGTCCTGCTGCCACCATGGACATGGGAGCCCTGAGGTGACCCAGGGGACAAGCCCCTGTTGCAGCAAAGCCCAGGGAAGGGGGATTGTGAAACAGGAGAGAGCGGGTTGCCAGAGGCTGGTGGGAACAGCGCTGGGGTGCGGGGATGCTCCTGGCCAGGACATCCTGTGTCTCCTGGGCTGAGGTCCCCTGGTGGGACCTTCCTGCTCTGGAGGCATCATGGTGCTTCGGAAATGTGTGCCACCAGCGTCACCCCTGCCCTGTGTGTGATTGACACTTGCAGCCCCCCAACCCAGTGGCTGTATGAGCTGCAGACCCTGCGGGTAGCACCCTCTCCTGTCCCCCCGCTCCTCCCCACCCCGTGTCATCCCAACGTGATGCTCAAAGACACCCAGCGCCACCATCAAGCCCTTCTCCTCCCTATTTCGGAGGTCACGACCTCTCCCTGTGACTCTTCTTCCCCCCCCCCTCCTCCTCTGCTCTGCAGTCCCCCGAGGGAGGCTGGCGCCGGCAGCCAGGACCTCGACTCCATCACCTTCTTTGCCTTCTCCCTCATCGAGGGCTACATCTCCATCGTGATGGACGCCGAAACCCAGAAGCGGTAGGTGACATCTGCGTGGCTGTGTGTCCCCAGGGGCTGGGGGCTTGGGGAGGAGAGGGTTACACTCATTCCGCCCCCGCCCCCAGGTTCCCCAGTGACCTGCTGCTGACCAGCTCCACGGGGGAGCTGTGGCGGATGGTGCGGATCGGCGGGCAGCCCCTCGGCTTCGGTGAGTGTGGCCGTGGTGGCTCTGTCCCCTCCCTGTGCCTCCCCCTACCCAGGGCGGGGAGAGTTGTGCTCGGGGGTGATGCTCTTCCTGGATGTTCCCCCCCCACTCCATGGCTGTGCCACCGGGGCCACCGCTCACCCCAGGGGTGCCTTGTCCTCCCCAGACGAGTGTGGCATCGTGGCCCAGATCGCGGAGCCGCTGGCCGCCGCCGACATCTCGGCGTATTACATCAGCACCTTCAACTTCGACCATGCCTTGGTGAGCCCCTGCCCCTCCCCGGGGACACCCCCTCACCCTCCCACCCTGGGGGTGTCCCCGAGGCTGACACCCCCTCTGTCATGTCCCCCTCCTCCCCCCGGCAGGTCCCCGAGGAGGGCATCGCCGAGGTCATCCAGCTGCTGCAGCAGCGCCAGGAGAGCGGCAGATAGCGGCTGGCTGTCCCCATGCCGGGTGGCCCGGCACGGTGGCACGGTGCACTCCCCCCCTTCCTCCCCCCTATATTCATTATTTTTTAATTTTAAGGCTTCCCCCCGACGCGGGGCAGAGCCGGGTGCTGCATCACTCCCTGCCTGCTGGGGCTATGGGGACATGGTGGCTTCAGGGACCTGGTGGCCTCATGGTGGTGGGACAGTGTCCCGTGGGAGGGGGGAGCCGTCCCCACTGTGCCACCCCCGTGGGTGAGGCCGAAGGGCAGCACCGTGCCATCCTCTGCCCCCAGGTTGGGGGGCTCGGGAGGGGAGTGGGTTGTCCCCCAGGGACCTGCTGGAGGAGGGGACATGGGGGGGACATGCCAGTGAGGGGTGACGTGGTGCTGCAGTGCTGGGGGTGACAGCCTGGGGCTGGTGGGACGTGTCCCCACACCCTGTGTGTGTGCCCACAGGTGGTCCTGTTGGGTGAGGAGGGGCGGCCATGATGCTGTGGGTCACCCCTGAACCAACTCTATGGAGGGGGCGAAACCATCCCTGGACCTGGGATTCCCTCCTGCACCCCAAAAATCTCCAAGGCAGAGAGGAGGGGGGTTGTGGTTCACCCCCAGCCCTGTGTCCCCTCCGGGGTGGCCCTGTGCCCCTGCCTGGGCTGTTGTGGGGGGATGACGGTGACCCCCCATCTCCTCCCAAGCTGTATTTTCACATAGTTTTTATAATAAGTCATTAAAAGTCCTATTATTTTTATTTCCACGTGGCCTGTTGCTCTCGGGGGTGGCCCAGAGCTGGTCCCCAGGGTGGTGGCTCTGGGTGGGATGGGAGCAGCTGGGATGTGACAGGGGGACGTGGCACTCCCTGTGTCCCCGCTGTGAGGTGACCAGGACAGGGCCAGCCCCCCTGCCACGTATTTTGGGTGAAGAAAGGGGTGAAGACTGCAGCCCCCAATGTCACCAGTCCTGGGGACACTGAGCACCCCAAGTCCTCTCCTGTTGCCACCAGCAAAGTGGCGTGCACAGGATGGGGGCTGTCCCCTCCTGGGGTGCCTAAGGAGTACTGTGACCCCCTTGGTGGCCAGGACTGTGTGGTGGTGGCCATGTGGATGGGCCCCCCAGCCCCTGGGTGCCCCCAGGGACTGCATCTGCTCAACAAGCAAGACTCGGTGGGATCGTGGTGGAAACCTCTTGGGGGTCTATTCGCCCAAGATGGGTGGCTCGGTGGGGCTTGGGATGGTGGGTCAACACAGTTCTGCTCCCATCATGTCCCCAAAAACCCAGCCCTGCTCCCCCATGCCCCAAGCGGGAGCGTGCCTGGGTTCCGGCCACCTCCTGCCTGCGTCAGATCCCACACGTTCGCGAGGTTCCTGCATCCTCCCCGGGCGCTTTCTTTCCTGTCTCGCTCTCTTGTCCAGAGTCATGGGACGCTGGTGACGCGCGCCCAAGTGATGAAGAAATTGCAGCCAGCCCATGCGGTCACCGTCGCTATTTTTGTCCCCCTTGGGGTATTGCACAGTCCCTCCGCCACCCGCTTTCCTCCAGCGGGGCGGCCACCACGGTGGCTTCCTCCCTGCCCAGCCTGGCAGGGACCCCGTCACTGGGAGGTGATGGTGCCACGTGGACAGGTCAGGGCTGCCTGTGGGAATCTGAGGGTGAGTGTGCTCTGCCCACATGGTCCTTCTCGCCTGGCCCAGGGTGCCCAGGGGTCCTGCCATGGCATTGCACATGCTGGAGTGTCCATGAGGTCAGGGAGGGAGGAATGGATGGAGTGATGGAAGGATGCATGGGCAGGTGGATGGATGAATGGATGGATGGAAGGAAGGAAGGAAGGAAGGATGGAAGTTCCTCTGGACAGACGGATGGATGGAAGGAAGTTCCAATGGATGGATGGATATTCCTCTGGGTGAGTGGATCGATGGGTGGATAGACCGATGGATGGATGGTTCATTGTAGGGATGCTAGATGCATAGACAGGTTGATGGATAGGTGGGCAGGCGGAGGGATGGTATGGGTGGGTGGGCAGCTGGTGGATGGATGGATGGATGGATGGATGGACGGACAGGTGGACATATGGACAGATGGCCAACAGACTGTCTAGACAGATGGATGGATGAACTACTTCAAAAAGATGGGGAGAGTAAAGGACCTTCCCCTGGCTCCTCCAGGGCTGTTCTGGGCACAGCTACTTCAAAAAGATGGGGAGAGTAAAGGACATTCCCCTGGCTCCTCCCTGCCCACACCAGCCCCTCCAAACCCAGCCCAGCTGCCACCTCCGCCAGGGGATGACTGAGGATGAGGAGGCTGGTGGAGGAAACAGCACTGGCACTGCTACCACATCAGGGAGTCCTGCACATCATGGAATGGCTAGGAAAGGGAAATTTTGGGGAAAAGAAACAATTTCTTCTTCCGAAAGGGAGTCACGGCTGTGTTTCTCTGCCCTGGAGGAGATTTTATTTCTGAGTTGTCTCCCCCACGCCACCACCAAACCCTCTGAATGTGCAAGCCTGGCACGGGGTGGTTCCCTCTGCTCGTGCCAGCACTTCTGATGGTCCCCAAAACCGAGCAGATACTGCCACGAATCTCAAAAAGCTGATAAAACATATTCCTTTTTGTGGGGTGGGAGAAGCCCCCGTGGGTGCCAGGCTGGGGCTCCGTCCGCCAGGCAAGGGGAGCTGTGGGGTGAAGGGGGTTTTCCCCCGGGTGCTGCGGGCAGTGCCGAGGCTGTGCCAGGCCCCGTGGCGATGCCGGCCGGGGCCGTGCGAGCCGGGCTGTCCCGCGGTGTGTTGCATAAGCCAGCCCCGCTGCCCGCCACGGCTTCCGCTGCCCTCGGCCCCCACGCCCTTGGGCAACACCCAGGGCCCCGCACGGGTCCCAGCGCCGCCGTTCGGCACCGGGCGGTTGCCTTCCCTCCCCCAGGTCACCCATGGGGGCTGCCAGGCAGAGGGGCTGCCCGGTGTCCCCAGCTTGGCCAGCACCCCTATTCGTCACACACAGGAGCTGGCGGGTGGGAGCAGATGGACAGAGGGATGGATGGAGCATCCTCCGGATCGTCGCGGGCGCTGTGGCTGGACACGGTCCCCAGCCATGCCAGGATGCTCCGTGCTTCCCGGGCTTCCACCTCCCTCCTTCCCAGGCTGGATTTTCATCTCCCGGGGCTGGACTGGGGATGCAGAGCCGCTTTGTGATGGGGCCACTGGTGTCCCCACGTGGCTGATGTCCCCGTCCCCGGGTGTCAGCCTCCCTCCTGCCACTGCCGCTGCTCTCTTTTGCATTTGGGTTTCGGGGCAGATCGGGGCCGTTTTCGGTTCAACCAGCCCATTGGGCACCGAGCAGTGAAATTGGGGTGACTCAAAGCGGCCCTTTCCCAAGAAGCCGGGTCGCAGGGGTTCAACGGCACCGGCGCGGCTGGATCCAGGAGGAGCAGCAGGACCACGGCCACCCCCCGGCCGGACCCGCCGGGACTCCCTCGAGGAACTGAATCGAAGAACAACCCCATCGGCCGGCCAGCATCATTTCCTCCCGCCGGGGCGGCTCACCCCGCTCATTGGCCCCCGGGGCACAGCTTCACTTCTGGCTGGCTTTCTGTTGGGCCCGGGTGCCTCCTTCGGAGGTGGGGGCGAATGGGTGCACTTTAAAAGGCCAGCTTCCCCATCGCCGAGCAGTAAGGAAGTCGCTCGCGCCTCCGGCAGCCCCCGCGCCGAAACACCCTGCCCCGGCCATGCGGTGCAACGGGCGGCCCCTGGGCGTGCTGGCAGGTAGGTGTCTGCCCGCGTCCCGCAACTACCCTCTCGCTCGCGCGCCAGCCGCGCCGGGACGGCCAGGAGCCGCGGGAGGGAGCGCGGCGGCAGCGGGGCCGTGTGGGGGTTGAGTCGGCATGCCACCATAGATGGTGTCACCGAGGGTGTCCCCTCCCTGCGCGGTGTCACCTCCCAGGGGCGCCAGCGGGGGGATGGGGACATTCATGCCCATGGCACATGGGACAGGGAGAACCGGGAATGGCTGCCTTCATCTTGGGGGAGAAGAGGTGGTGGGAGGGGACACATTTTGGGGTCAGTTTGGGGACTGACAGCAGAGGGTCAGGGGTCAGCTTGCTGGCACAGCTCCTGCACCCTGCCCAAGCCCTTCAACCCCCCCCAGCTCAGCCCGGCTGGATGATGTCTGCTGGTCCAGGGCCACATCCGAAGTCACCACACTGGCACATGGTGACAGCGAGGGCAGCGTCCAGCCAGAGCCAAGGGACAGATCTGGGAATGTCACCGCTGTCCCCTCCTGTGCGGTGGCCCACACTGAGAGGGGGAGCTGCTGGGTGGGCTGGGCTGTGTGCCCTGGCTGAGCCATGGCATCTTCATCATCCTCCTCCCCAGCAGGCTTTTGGCACAGGGGCTGGCTCATCCTTAGGGTAGCACTGGGGGCTTTGGCACGGGGGACACATGTCCCCAGCACATACTAATCTTGCCCCCAGGCTTGACGCCAGGGTGATGGGCACAAGGAGGCGAGCTCTCCCTCTGGCAGCCATCCCTATGGCACTGGGGCTGGTGGGCTTGAGCCTTTCCAGCACAGGGAGGGGGCTGCCTCCCTGCGCCCAGTGATGCCCCAGTGTCCCTCATCTCCCTCTTCTTCCTCCCCAGCTGTCACCAAAGGGCTCTTTATCCTCTGGGCGGTGCCGGGCCAAGGGGGGCGGCCCCTGCAGCCCCCGACCCTGCAGCAGATCCAGGCACTGGTGAGGCACATGGCCGAGGACGCGCAGGAGCTTTTCACCTTCTATGTAAGTCCCCTTCCCCGGGGCAAGGGGTCGCTCCTGTCCCCTCCATCGGGGGACACGGGGCTGGTGGGGGCGGGGAGTGTCCCCATGCTGATCTTGTCCCATGTCCCTGACCTTTCCCATCCATTCCTGGACAGGAGGAGAACCAGGGCCTGGCCATCCACCATCTCTGCCGCACCAACCACCCACCCGAGTGGCTGCGGGGACCAGTGGCGGGGTCTAGGGGGCTGCGGGGGCTGCAGGGGACCATGGCCCGCATGTCCCAAGCGCTGCAGGACATCACCCGGCACCAGCGCGACCTCAACCCTCCTGGTGCTGAAATCCTTCGCCGCTTGGCCAGCACCCACCTGAAGGTGCGGGGGCTCCTCAGCAACCTTAAGGGGCTCTTCCCAGCCCCCAGCTCCAACCCTGGCCTCCGCCCCCGCCCCACAGCACCCACCAAGGTCTTTCAGCAGAAGCTGGAGGGGTGCCGGATCCTCTGGAGCTACTCTCGCTTCATGGCCAAGCTCAATGCCCAGCTGGAAGCCAGGAGCCGCCGAGCACGACGGGAGAAGCAGAGATCACACCGGGGCTCACACCTGCCCACTCGCTCCTAGTGTGGCCGCACTGTCAATGGGGTTGTCCATGTCTCCATCTTGAGCCCCATCTTCATCCCTCATCTCCATCTCCACCCTCATCTCCAACCCCATCCCCATCTCCATCTTCATCTCTATCTCCATCCTCATCTCCATTTCCATCTCCATCCTCAACTCCACTTCCATCTCTATCCTCATCCCCATCTCCATTTCCACCCTCATCTCCAACCCCATCTCCATCTTCATCTCAATCTCCATGCCATCTCCATCCCCATCCCCAGGATGGAAACTCTCCCATCTCCATCTTCATCCCCATCTCCATCATCATCTCAATCTCCATGCCACCTCCATCCCCATCCCCATCCCCAGGATGGAAACTGTCCAACCAGCCAGGATGCACCATGGAGACCCTCCAAGCTCACACGGGTGAGGACACAAGTGTTCTCAAAGCAGCTCCCATCACATTGGCTTGCTGTGGGGACCACGCTGTCCCCGTGCCATTGCTCGGCTGCAGGACAGCCCTGCTCAGCCCCCTCCCCCATATCCTGCCCCACATTTCGCGTGGCCCAGTGCCATGGGGAGCCGTGTGCTTGGGTGTCCCCCGGGTGCCCAGCGCTGTGGGACGGAGCCGTTCCTTGTCACCGAGCCCTGCCGGATTTTCCAGTGATTCAATGGGTCCGGTGACCCAGCCTGACTAAGAGCCGCTCACCCAGCACCCGCCGTGCTGCCAGCCCCCCAAAAGTGCCACCGGCCTTGTCACCCCCTGCCCTGGGTTTGCTGACCCCAGAGAGCACCTGGGAGTGGAATCCTCCAAGCTCGGTGTCCCCGTGAGCTCGGTGTCCCTGCACACTCAGCACGCCTGTGTGCTTGATCCCCCCACAAGCTCAATGTCCCTGTGCTTTCGGTGTCCCTGCACACTCAGCACGCCTGTGCGCTTGGTGTCCCCACAAGCTCAATGTCCCTGTGCTCTCTCCCCGTGAGCTCGGTGTCCCTGCACACTCAGCACGCCTGTGTGCTTGATCCCCCCACAAGCTCAATGTCCCTGTGCTTGGTGTCCCCCTGTGCTTGGTGTCCCCCTGTGCAGCATCCTTGTGCTCACACTTGCATGCTTGGTGACCCCACGGTCTTGGTGTCCCTGAGATCTCAGCATCCCTGTGCCCTTGGTGTCCCCATGCCTTGGTGTCCCTGAGATCTCAGCATCCCTGTGTCCTCAGGGACCCTGTGCCCTTGGTGTCCCCATGCTACAAGTGTTCTCAAAGCAGCTCCCATCACATTGGCTTGCTGTGGGGACCATGCTGTCCCCGTGCCATTGCTCGGCTGCAGGACAGCCCTGCTCAGCCCCCTCCCCCATATCCTGCCCCACATTTCGCGTGGCCCAGTGCCATGGGGAGCCGTGTGCTTGGGTGTCCCCCGGGTGCCCAGCGCTGTGGGACGGAGCCGTTCCTTGTCACCGAGCCCTGCCGGATTTTCCAGTGATTCAATGGGTCCGGTGACCCAGCCTGACTAAGAGCCGCTCACCCAGCACCCGCCGTGCTGCCAGCCCCCCAAAAGTGCCACCGGCCTTGTCACCCCCTGCCCTGGGTTTGCTGACCCCAGAGAGCATCTGGGAGTGGAATCCTCCAAGCTCGGTGTCCCCGTGAGCTCGGTGTCCCTGCACACTCAGCACGCCTGTGTGCTTGATCCCCCCACAAGCTCAATGTCCCTGTGCTTGGTGTCCCCCTGTGCTTGGTGTCCCCCTGTGCAGCATCCTTGTGCTCACACTTGCATGCTTGGTGACCCCACGGTCTTGGTGTCCCTGAGATCTCAGCATCCCTGTGCCCTTGGTGTCCCCATGCCCTTGGTGTCCCCATGCTCTTGGTGACCCCATGCTCTCAGCATCCGTGTGTCCTCAGGGACCCCCATGCTCCTCCCTCTGCGCTCAGCATCCCTGTCCCCTCAGGGTCCCCTGTGTCCCCAGGCCCCTCGGGCTCGGCTCTGGCCACCGCACTGTGATGGTGGGTGGTGGCACCCACCCCCTCCCCACTAATTTATACATTAATATTTGCGTGGTTGTGGTATTTATTGACTCTTGGGGTTAATTTAATATGTCCCTGCATTGGGAAGAAATATTTAAGGACATGTTTTTAATATATAAATATCTATTTTTATGATTAATTTTTTTTGTATTGTATTAAACTATGAATGTAACGAGGTTTTATTATTTATGGATATCACTATTTTTTGGTGCTCGTGGCACCCCTGTATTTTTGTATAACTGCAGAAGGAAATAAAGCATTGACCTCGGCCCGTGGGCCGCTGAGCGGTGGTGTCCCCGTGTGTGTCCCCGTGTCCCTGTGTGTGTCCCCGTGTCTGTGGGCACAGAGGGACTGTGTCCCAGTGGCCAGGCTGTGCCCGATGTCCTCACCAGGGCAGGTGGCACGGCATGGGATGGCAGCATGGGGTGGGATGGGACCTGGCCTGGTGTGGCACGGCATGGGCCGTGGCACCGCATGGTGTGACCCGGGACGTGGCACAGCACGGTGGCAGCTGGCACACGATGGCGTGTGGCACATGGCACGGCACGGGGTGGCACACAGCACAGTGTGGCACACGGCAGGTGACACGGCAGCCCGTGGCACTGCCAGGTGTGTGCCATGCCATGGCGCGACGCAACGCGACATGGCACCGTGTGCCACGTGTCACAGCACCCTGTGGGGCGAGCGGCCCCGCGCAGCCACCGGCACAGGCCGGGCCATCACCGCACTGAGCCAGAGCGCCATGTCCCTGCTGCCTGGCCGTGGCCACCGCGGGGACTGGGCCACCCCACTGCCACTGCTCTGGCTGAGTCAAAAATCCTAAGACCCGGTCATGTGGCACCGCGGAGTCACTCGTTCCTCGCCGTGTGCCGATGCCCGCCGGGCTGCCCGGCACTGCCGCCGGCACCACCACCTGAGTCAGTCGCGGGGAGCGTTGCCGCCGGGACGGCCACCGCTGCCGTTTGGGGACGCTCAGGGTGGGGACGATGTCACCATGAAGCAGCCCGGGCTGGCTTGCTGTGCTGTGGGTGACCCTGACCCTGCCACCACCCACCGGCTGCTGTCCCCCGCCAAGCCACCCGCCGGGCTCCGAAGAGGAGGCAGCGTGCATGGGCTGCAGAGGGGAGGGCACAGGTATGTGACGCCCCCCACCCTCCCCCAGGGACTGGCATGGAGGGGTTGGGGGCACCCCCCTCAAACAGGGGGTGAGTGTCACCCGAGGGATGTTAGCAGCCCCCACGTCCCTGGTGTCCAGATGGGGCCAGGGTCCCTCCTTGCAGGGCCACCCTGAGGGACCCCACTGCCCACCCCTGGGAAAAGCCACCCCATGGAGGGGACATCTCTTGGCCACGGTCCCCAAGGGAGCTCCTCACCCCACCTGGCTGGGCTGGAAATCAGCAGGGTGCCTGCCTGTGGGGTGACATTGCTGGGGTGGCACCGGTGGGGTGGCATTGGGAGGGTGGCACTGATGGGGCACAGAGTCTGGGGGGAGGCAGTCCCGGGCAGGGAGAAATGGTGAGTCAAAGGGGAATTTGGTCACCGCCATTATTCAGCCCCAGGTTTCCCTGGGGTGAGGGCACGGGGGCACCAGACTTACCCCCACTCTCCCTTAGTCCCCCCCAGCACAGACCCCCCC